AGCCCAGGCTGCCCCGCAGCTGTTATGAGGCTGCGGAGGGCACGGGTGGTGTCCAATCAGCCCTAAGGGGAGGCCTTCTCCCGCCCGCCTGCGGTCCTGTGCCCTGAGTCTCGGGGCACCTGGACGGCCCGTCAAAACGCACGTGCGGCTAAAAAAAAAGTGCTCACCGCTTTCTTCTTGTCCCCCCGTCCCCCCCCCAACCCCAGGTGTGGGTCCCCGGAGAGGAGAGCCCTGTTCCCAGAAGGATGGCTTGTCCCGCGGCCAGGAGAGGGGGTGGCAGCTGGTGAGGAATCCGGAGAGAGCGACGCTGTCAGGGCCCGTCATTAACAAACAGCCGCGCGCAGCGTCCGGAGCCCCCAGGGAACTCTCCGCGCATCCTCCTCCGTCCCGCCGCCGGGCTCCGCACCCGCCGGTAAGTTTCGCTGATTTTCAACCGAGGCGCCAGCAATTCAACCGGGAAGGGATAGTCTTTCCCGGAGCGGTGCTGGAGGGCGTAGCTGGATACATCTCTCTCTGGAACCCTGGGTGGAGCTTCTGCTGTGTGAGAACCAGCTTTTTTCTTTTTAAAATGTCAATTTTATTGAAAAACTAACTTACAACCCTAACCGGTTTGGGTCAGTGGATAGATAGAACGTCGGCCTGTGGACTGAAGGGTCCCGGGTTCGATTCCGGTCAAGGGCAGGTACCTTGGTTGCGGGCACATGCCCAGTAGGGGGCGTGCAGGAGGCAGCTGATCGATGGATGTTTCTCATTGATGTTTCTAACGCTCTATCCCTCTTCCTTCCTCTCTGTAAAAAAAAATCAATAAACTGTATTTAAAAAAAATAAAGACAAGGTTTTAAAAAAGAAAAAGAAAAAATGACTTATATACAAAAATGTACTCATTTAAGGTGTCTGATTAGATGAATTTTAACAAATGTACTCACCTGTGTAGTCCTCACCGCAGCCCTCACTCCCATCACTCCCCCAGATTTTCTTGTTTCCCCTGCAGTCAGTCGCCTCCCCTTCATGCCTAATGGGTATTAGGCAAATGCCTGCTTTCTGACACTACAGATTAGCATCGACTCTTCTGGAATTTCATGCGTAAATAGAATCATAGGAACTGTTTGCCCTCTTTTGCTGAACAAAACGTGTTTGGGATTTACTTATCCACATTGCTGCTGGTATCAATAGTTTGCTTTTGTTGGGTAGTATTCAATCTGTATATCCAGTCACCTGCTGGTCAGCTGCCAACTTGGCAAGGCTACTGTATCCAGTTATTCAAGCAAACACTAATGTAGATGTGTCTGTAAAGGTGTTTTGTAGACATGCTGAACACCTGCCAGCAGTTGCCTTTAAGTAAAGGTTACCCTCAGTAATGTGGGTGGGGGTGATTCAATCAATTTAAAGGCCTTGAGGGCAGGACAGATTCCCCTGAAGTTCTGTGGACTGCAGTGTAACGTCCTGCTAGAGAGCTCCAGCCGGCCCTGCCTGGAAACCCGCGCTGTGGATGTCAGACTTGCCTATCCAGCCCTCATAGTTGCCTAAACCAATTCCTTGTAATACATGCCTGACTGATACACATGCTGATGGATATTCGGGTAGCCCAGGTTTAGGCTATTCTGAATACAAATGCTACGAACATTTGAGAGCAAGTCTTTGCTTGGACGTGCCTAGGAGTGGAATTGCTGGATCATTGGTAAGCATTTACCAGACTATGTAAAACTATAAAACTATTTTCTTGTACATTTTGCGTTCCTACCAGCAATGTATAAGAATTCCAGTTGCTCTACAACTCCGCCAGCTCTTGGAATTGTCAGTCTTCCTAGTTGTAGCCACTGTAGTGGATGTGTATAGTGACATTTCTTCTGGCTTTTATTTGTATTCATTTGATGAGTGATGTTGAGCATCTTTTCAAGTGTTTATTTGTCATTTGTGTATCTTCTTTTGTAAAATACCTGTTCAGATATTTTGTCCATTTTTAACTTGGGTTATTCTTATTGAGTTGTAGGGGTTCTTTTATATATCTTGGATACCTGTTTTCTGTCAAATATATATGTATTCCATAGATTTTTCACTCCTGTCTATAGCTTGTCTTTTCATTGTAAAAAATGATATCTTTTAAAGAGCAAATTTAAAAAAATTTTTTAAATTATTTTTTTCTTTTATGTCTTGTGCTTTTGATGTTTAAAGAAATCTTTGCTTAACCTAAGGTTGTGAGAGTTTTCTCCTAGGTTTTCTTTTAGAAGCCTTGTAGTCTTAGCTTTTACTCTTACATCAGTCATCCATCTGAAGTTAATTTTTGTGATGGTGTTAGGCGAGGGTCATGGTTATTCCCCCCACCCCCAAGTGGACATCCACTTCTTCAAGCACCATTTTTGGAAAAAGACTATTCCCTCTTTACTGAATTACCTTGGCACTTTTTTTTTTTAACTTTTATTTTTTATTTTTTTAATTAAATCTTTATTGTTCAGATTATTACATTTGT